TTTTGACCTGATTTGCATCTGACAGTCTGGAAGCTGCAAACCTTCAGCCCTGTCATTCTTGCAGCTTTCCTAATATTTGTTAGCGAGAAGCCATTCCCTCCCAGACTGCCCAAGGGATTGCCCTTCCCAGAGAGAGGCTCCTAACTAAAGGCTGGCTGAGAGTTGGCAAGGCAATGTGGCTGCATAGCTGAAGGGAGCAGAACTAACTACACCACTTTTTGGCATTCCTGATTGGACATACAGGGATGCCACATGGGGAAGGAGGGGTCCCACCCTTGTCCTGGGAGGGCAGTGGTAGCCTCCAATTTAGCCATCTGTCGCTGCAGCGCCCAGGGTGCTGAGCTGAGTCCCAGCTCGCCTCTGCTGGCTTTCCCGGAAGTTCCTTCCCGAATTGTAGCATCTTTTCTGCCCACATGTGGGGGCACTGTTTCTTCTCGGATCTCATGCAGCTCAGGCCAGTGGTGAGACAAAGGGCTCCAGAGCCGGAGACTTGTGGGTGCTGACAGAAACCAACCAGGAAAACAGAGAATTCAAGAGGGCCTGCGTGTGTTTGAGCAAGAGGCTTTGCAACTGAGGCCAGAAAGGGAGAGAACCGGTGATCTTGGCTGGGTCTAACTCGAATCCAGGCCCTTCTCGAGGTTTTGGTGTCTCTGCAAGGAAATCTATTATTTTCCATAAACGGTCTTAAGAGTCTCCCGGCTGCATTTCTGGCTGTGTTAAGGATCAAGCCATCAAGAACAGCTGTGAGTAGCAGCAATGGGCTTTGGCAGCGAAGTAGGAGCAAAAACCCAAGTAGGACATTTCAGTTGACAGTAATGGCATTTTCCCTTCCTTGTCCAAACGATAAAAGATTCATGCTCCTAACTGCGACACTATAGCTGCCCCCATCACTTTATTCTGGGAGAGGAGGTTAGAGAAAACAGGCCTAGAGAGAGGGAGAGAAAGAGAAAGAGAGACGGGTAGTAATTTCGTCACTAGCTAACAGAGACTGATTAGTGTAGACGACCCCATCCATAGCAATACTTTTTAATCAGGACTGCTGTGTCTGGGCAAACAGCTTTTGTGGATTAGCTAGACTGGAGCCTGCCAGCATCCGTTGCAAGTTTAAAGGATGAAATACACAACTACAGAGAAAACAAACCGAAAAGAGTAATAAAGTCACACATTTCAATATTCAGCAACCATTAAGGGATTTAAATATTTGCTTGCTATTAAAGGCTTGCATTAGGCTCTTCCAACACCAGCTCTGGAAGACTGAAATATCAATTACGGATCAATTTTCCCCCTAAGTAAACACTAATGCAGGATAAACAGTATTAGAAGATGCAATCGTAACATTGCTGACTTCAGGATGGACTTCCTGCTGGTAACAGCAAGTTTAAGCCTGGTGATTAATTAACCTGAGAAGATAGCACTTAAGGAAGATTTAAGGCGAGCATGTCTGAAATATGAGCGTGAGCCAGCGTATGCATGCAGGACAGCCAGAGAGGTGTTGGCCCAGGGCATGGGTTGCTTTGCTCCTCAGTATTGGTCCTGACTCCCCAGCCCGATGTTTTAAAGGGTTAGGAGGGAGAAAAGTGGGGAGTGCGGGTGGATGGGTGTGTGCCTGAGAAAAGGCAGGGCTTGAAATTCTAACTTTAAATAAGCAGGAGTTGCAGTTCCCATACTGGCCACCAGGGGAGATTCATGATATAGTATCTTGGGAATGAAAAACAAAACAAAACAAAACAACAACAACAAAAAAACAAAACAAAAAGCAGAACCCAAAAGGTAAACCAAACCAAAACAAACAAAAAACAAACAACCCAAAACCCACCATTAGCCAAGTGGCTCTCTGTGAGATTGAGGCCAGCTTGGTTTACAAAGCAAGTTCCAGGACAGCCAGATCTGTTACACAGAGAAACCTCCTCTTGAATAAAACCAAAATCTCAAAACCAAACCAACCCAAAAAACAAACAAAAAACCAAGAACAACAAAAACCACCACCAAAGCCTGTAGTCCCATATTATACAAAAGAGCCTGGGTGCTGAGGATAGTTAAGTCACGACAGCATTAGACTCTCATATGTTCAGGTCTGGCTTTGGGCTGCTCTCACTATCTCGGTGTCCACTCGCCACTTCCTACCAGGTAAAGTGGTGTGGGGACTGCCTTCTCCCACAGCTCCTGTAGGAGGCACACTTTGGCATTTTTATATGAGCACAGATAAAGAAAGGAACATATTTAAAATTGTTCTAACCCACGGCACCTCATTATGATATATGACAACAATGTTACCTTACAGCTTTTCTCAGACATTACCCCAAATTTCATCATCATTGCCCAAGGATGAACAAGTACCATGCTGGCAGGCCTCAGAGACAGATGGGACCAAGGGTACTAAACTTGGGGTGGACAGGCACATCTCTTCAAGGTCTTAGGAACTACCTACTTGGGGGATAAACTTGCAAAGGTCAAGTCAGGCACTCATTAATGTCTGTTAAAAGTCACTGTGTGGCTGCTAAGACCATGACAGAGGGGCTATGAGCCTGTCTAGGCAAAGAGCCTCTTCTCCCATTGGCTGTACAGTGAGGTCAGGTCATTTCACCTTCATCATTTTTTTTTTTTCCTGTGCAAATGTGGGATCCACTGAAGGAATCCAGCTGCCAGTTCTTTATGCTTAAATTACTGTGGCACCTTGGTGAAAAGATGTATTAGGAATCCGAGGCCATACCTTGTAACACAACAGAAAGGCCTCACAGAAGGAAGGTCTTTCTACTTATCTTGTGGTAACTGCATGATTGCTTTAAGGCTCTGGATGACAGATGCAAAGGAACAGCTCTCCATAGAGGAAGTTCAGAGTATAACAGTTACATTTCAACTGGACAGGGGGCAGTGAAAGATTGTGTCAATTAACACCTGAGTATCACCTTGGAGTTTCAGTTGATGTATTTGGAGAATGCAACAAGGCCAAGCATTTTTGAGAACCCTATGGAAGGAGCAAGGAGAGTTTTTGTGCATTACCAAGCGGCACACTGGAAACTTAACAGGCAAATACTAACCCAGCTGCTTCTGGCACCTTCTCATTTGCAAGCCTTACTGTGCTTCAACAGCCAAGCTGCCTGCCAGCCACCTTGTCTGCCTCTGCTCACTGACTACCAGAGGTCCCTGCTCTGTGAGTTAAGGCTCCATCTGGAGCCTCATGCTATAGGAAAGGAGATGGATGAGGACATTGCACATATAGAATGCCATGTGGCTCAGAATAGTGACAAATAAGCACATTGATGAATCATGATGAGAAAATCCTTCAGTATTCTACAAAAAAATTCACAAGGGCATGAGTCCACAGTTTTCTCTAAGGAGTAACCAGTTCTTACAGCCATGGGCACTCTTGTCTTCTAAATCAACACTTCAGTCTAATGAACATGGAATGAGTGCTTACTTCCTGAGTGTAACCTTATTGCCTAAGCACCAATCTTTTTGGTGGTACAGAAGACTGAACTCAAACCCCAAACCCCACTGCACGCTAAGCACAGGTTTTCTTTCCCCCCTTACCACTGAGCTATTCCCCCAGCCCACAGTGTGCATTCTGTGCATCTGTTTCCTAATGGCCTTAGAGGTTATAACAAACTCTACCTTACCCAGCAAAAGACAAAGATCAGGTGCACTGGGTAACATTCTGAGGCTTCACAGCTAGTAAAGATGGGACAGTTATTTAAATCCAAGGCTGGTCCATTCTAACTCTCAACCTTGAATCCCAAATCATCCTCTGGGTCCTATAGAGATATGGTAGATCATCTTCCCCATTGTTCTTTACCTTTTTGGTAGGAGTTGGAAGAGGCCAGCGCACACACAAAGCTTCTGCCTAGACTATAAGGTCAGCTACAAGACGGATCCCACCCACAGAGTACCTTAGTCATCACACGTCTGTCTGCTGGCTAGATTCATTGCTCCCTGCATCTGACTTCCTTTTCTTCTCTAATACCCTTGGAAACCTGGCAAAGCTCCGAGCTCTTCCATTGAGCTGACTTGCCAGCTTCTGCTCATTTGTCTCTCCCAAGAAGTCCCCACTGCTTTCGCCAGTATTACATTGGGTGTGGCACTCACAGGTGAGGTCTTCTTCACTGGTGTAGCTATCACCTTAGCCTCTAGTGATCACTTACACTTGTCTGTGTCCCCTACCACATCCATGTGCCAGATATCCAATGATGGTGTAACTGCTTCTGTCGGTGCTGCTATGCTTAGACCGATTAGAGACCAGACCATGATGTAAGAAACCAAAGTGAGATGCCCAGCCTTGGTCTCTTCTGGAGCTTACCTCGTCTCTCTCTGCCAAACCTTCCTGGTTACCTGGCTGAGACAGAGGGGGAACCCAAGGAGAGCTGAGTGAAGGCGAGAAAGGGCACTCTGGGGCGGTCAGATTTCTGCTCATGGATTACAAGTGTGATCCTTGCTAATTTCTCCTGCAAGGCAAGGACATTGATACCATGCTGTTGAATCTCACAGTTCGCCTGGGCGGGGAAGTTTCCAAAACCTAGATGGTGAGTGGGAACAATCCACAGGCAGCCAAACTGTTAGCCCTCGGCAGCTCACTGCTTCATTTTTGTGAAAGGAGAGAGAATTTTAAAAGGAAGAAGGCAGTATGAATTGTTAAGACACACAATCCCAAAGAAAGAGACAGGTGGAGCAGGCAACACAGGAAAGTTGGTGGGTGGTGGGTGAAAGTGGGGGAGGGTGGTAGTGACACATCCACGGGAGGAAGTGCCATCCCCAGCAGCTGCACGCACACCTGCACAAATCACGGCGCCCACTGGAAGTGACTCCGTTCAACCACGCACCGGACTTCTGTCTGTCTACTGTGAGGGGAGAAGAGGACAGGACAAGGACGAGCAGACAAGGGACACAGCTGGCAGCCACTCCCAGCAACCTACTGCCAGTGTTCTGGGCCCCCACACAAGGTCCTAGGAAAGGAAGCTGGGACCAGAGACCGGGTGTTGTAAGAATCCAGAAAGAGATTTAAAGGGTCACTTGTAACATTAATTTTTTTTATTAAGAAGACAGATATTTTATAGTACTTCTTTTTTTTCTTTTTTCTTTTTGTAAAAATGGTATACATGAACCGATACAAAATGCGAATGGGAACACACGGATGTGGAGTTTCTTACACTGTAACATGGTCCTTGTACACCTTAGAAACAGAACTGGCCTAGAGGGAAAAACAAGACGTTGTTGTGACTAAAGAACAAGCTTATTTGGCATCAATTATACATCCTTCATTATTTTATATTCCTTAAAAAAAAACACAAAAAAACAAGTTTGTTCTTTCTTCACTCTAAAAAGTGATCAACCTGTACAAAGTAATACTCAACAATACATTTCAAACAGTGCACTGTATACTTAAGAAAAATACATAAACCAATATACAACTAAAATCCGTAATTTCCTGTTTTTGCTTTGTTTTATTATCATTATAATTATTATTTTTTCCAATGTGTGGGGCCTACACTTTGCAATCTACCTGAGACAGAAAAACACCAATCAAAACACAGGAACCTGAGACATGTCAACATTGTAAGCCATAAAGTTACATCAGAACACTGCACTACTGTACACTTGTCAAAACAGAAAGATGGGCGGTCCCGAAAATGAGATGCCAATTCTGTGAACAATGGTAGTTTTTTTTTGTTTGTTTGTGTGTTTTTTGTTTTTTTGTATTTTTTGTATTTTTTTTTTTTTTTCTAAAAAGAACAGCTGAAAAACCCTTTCAACGACATGCTAACTGGTTCTCACCCTTTGATATGGTCACACTATGTTCAGGATGGGTGCTAAGGGCTCGGAATAGATGCACATTATAAAATTCTTGAAAAAGGGATGTTCCTTGTGGCTTTTTGTCTTGGTTAAGTGCCTAGGGACAGGAGAGGGGTGAACAAAACACTGCTCGATAATGAATTTTCCTTTACATACCAGTCCGTTCCCAAAAGGCCCCCATATTGCAATGGTTCTATCAGAAGTGAAAATAAAGACAAGAAAAAGAAATACACTTTCAAATAACAGAGAGTGGACACTTTTTCCCCTTAAATAAATCAGCGTAAGTTTTCCACATAATGTAACAATAGTAAAAATGCACCTTGCAAAATCCAAAAGTACTGACTGAAAATGTTATATAATATATATTTATATATTTATATATATAGATAGATCTATCTTTTCTGATGCTGCCTTTCCATAGGGACTGATTTTTGGAGTCTGGAGCCTACCAATGCACAGGGTAAAAGAGCTTAGGTTTTAGTCCTTCAGAACCACTTCTGGGTTTCCTCAACACTTGAGATAAAACCCCACTTAGCTTTAAAGAATGCAAATGGTAACTCGACTCCTCTACCTTCCCCCAGGCTCCAGTCTAAGATATGTTCAAGATAATTTATTTTAGTAGCTATGCGCTATGGCTGCCATCATGCGAGATGAGGAATTTTTGGCAGATGGTTCTTAAGGCTGAGGAAAGAGGCCAAGGCTAGTGTATGAAAGGTAGAAAGATAAAAACACTCACATCTGAGTTTTGATTAAGTAACTGAAAATCTCTCCATGCTGTGTTTGCACCTCAGCTCTGACCTTTCGAGAACAATACAGGCTTTCTTTTGTACCTCCTGCCTTTGTCAAGCCAAATCTGAAGGAATGAGAGCTGCTCAGGATTGGAGTTGGAAATCCCAGCAGGACAGGGGTCCCAGCAGGACAGTGTCTGTAATATACAGTACATGCAGACCACATCCTACTGCCCTCCTAAATAAGCACAAAGGAAAAACAAAAACAAAAACAAAACCCAAAACAAAAACCTGTCCCCTTCATTCACACAACGCACGGACTTGCTCTCTCCTGCACACCGGTGAGCAGTAAGGCCAATTGGGAAAGGTGGATGGAGTTGTTTGGAGTAGAGACAACCAGAGCAGGACTGCCTTATCCCCTCCCTGCTTCCTCTCCTCAGATTTGTTCACTGACATAAAATGGACAGACCTCACCTGTTGGGTCTGTTTAGGGCAACAAGGAAGGAGGAGACTTTCCACCCCAAATCTTTCTGCACAGCGTGGGGTAATCTATACTGAGCCGCCTACAGATACAGAATTAAAGACAGATTCAATCTCATTGCGACACACCTCACTTGCAGATAACCCTGTACAGTAATGAAGATCCACAGCAAACAACAGTTTCTGAGTCACGGTCTACTTTTCTAGTCTTTGCTGCTCTAAGTATTGAAACATGGGCAGCAGCAAAGAGTTTTCACTGTTTTTTTCTTTTTTTTTTTTTTTTTCACCCAAATCTTTACGACAACAGAGAAGAATGCATCATGGAGACACTAAATTCTGAACTATGAAATCTAAACTGTGCTGGTTTTCCTTTTATGCAACTGAATTTGGAACAGAAAGCAGTCACTGTCAACACAAAAACAAAAGAAAGCAGGAAAAACCGCAACAATGGGGAAATCTTAGGAATCCCAGCAGGTCAATTCCAAAAAAACTCGGGAGGTTTGGGAAGGGGAAAAAATTGATTTTTGGGAAAAATAAATGCATAAAAAGGAAAAGGGGAAAATAACACAACAAAGAAATGAAAAACAAGGCACAGAATTTTCTGCAATCTATCGAAACCCAAGTTTAACTTGGTAAAAGAAATAAAAATTAAAAAAAAAAAAAAACAAAAAACCAAAACCCAAATCAAATTAAAACCAGATAAGAAGAGGTGTCAAACAGCAGAGCGTACTTTTCAAAGAACATTTTTTTTCTTTTTGTTTTTACATAGCAAATCCCAAGCCTTCCCAGCCTCACATCTTTCCACCCACTCATAAAAAACACACAAGCGTCTCGCAAGTTCCAGTGTCACTGTCTCTTTTATCATCTAAACAGGGCCAGTTGGACACCTCATTGGAACAAAAAGGCTGATCTAGATGAAGTACTCTTTCTTTTCTTCAGAGTTGTTCTGTCCTCCTTCTGCATTGATTATAGCTGTGTCTGCGTCTGCTGCGTCATCGGCTCCTTTGGCTTCATGAGTGAAGTATGTACCTGAAAGATGAAGGGGTAAAGCACTGTGACTCTCTGATGGCCTCTGTGTGAAGTGGTACAGAGATGGCAAGTTGCTTTATGGCCATCATCAGCCGAAGTGGTGTGCAGGCAGCAGAGGGGAAAAAAAAAACAATTGGAAGAAGAGAGCAAGGTGGATGAGACAGATGGGGATCCCGGGCTCCAAGGGTACCACTCCAACTGAGCTGCTGCGATGTAATTCAGCAAACGAGACATTAGAGCAGTGATTATGACCAGAGAAGAAGACGTGAGTGGGGCTAAAATGCAGAAAGCTGGAGAGCTGCTGACTAATGCATAAACAGTAAACACCAAAGACCAATGACCAGAGATGTTCACACATGGTTAAAGACCAAAGCAAGGAAGAACAATTAGCCAATAAATGAATTAGGGCCCCAATGACGCTTCTATTGTTATCTTGAATCAGTTACTCCAACCATAGTCTCCTGGCTTTATGAATTGCTATTGGCTACCCACAGGTGAGACTGTGCTTGAACTTGTCTAAGGACTGGTTTCCCTGTGCCTTCCTTTTCAGTAGAGCATCAGATAGAGACATAATTTGACATTGTCAAGACTGCATTCGAGGCTTGGGCTCTGTCTTCATGAACAAGGAATTCTTTCTCACCATGTGACTGGAGCCTGGACCCAGATTCATGGATTTGCTAATTGGCACAGCCACTTCATAATGACAATAGACAGAACATTAACCAAGTTGGTGACATTCCTATCACCAAATCCCTAGTTTACGTGGAGGAAGACACAACTTCACCTCAGAATAGCAGACAGGTAGAACTCATACTGCCTGGTGTAATCTGATAGCCCTCTTCCCATTATGTTCTCATGCTAGATTCTTCAAAAAGCCCAAGACATTTTGTTGAATTTTCAGATTTGAAAGGGATAAACTGAGCAAGCAGGTGGTCAAACGCTTCCTCCCAGAGTCCTCTCTCTTGCAGAGACATGTTACCGTTTTCTGATCCTCCATGGATGCTGTGCACACTCTGCTTGGCTCCCTGGCTGTACTTTCCCAGCTCTACCAAGTTAAGCACTGAAAGGCGGAGGTTCTGGGCCACACAGCTCCAAGAGTCCCCAACTGTTCTGTGCTCCAGACAGACACTTCTGGATCCTAAAGTTTGTTGTTAAGCATCCTGGACCTCCACTGCTGGGGTCCAGGGACCTTACCCAAACCCAAGTCACAATGAAGCAGTATGCAAGCGCCTACAAAACCCCCAAAGCTTATTGCACAGTGCTTGAGAAAAACAACTGAGAAAGACGAGGGCCGACAAAGAAAAGGAAGACTAAATTACCAGGAGGGGAGAAGAGGCTCAGAGCAGCATGAGGCAGAGAGGAAGAGCATTGGCAAAGATGATTGCCCATCCAGTCTGCACAGTTGGTAAGTGTGATGATTAATGGCAATTTAAATCAATTGCCCTGATAATTTTAAAAATACATATTTATGTGGCTTTTAAGGCAAAGGATTTCTTCTTTTTTTTTTTTTTTTAAAACCTGGGCACATCACATCAAGGAGGAAACATTCTGGGCCAGGGGACCAGCTTACTCAGAGTTTCAGGGTCAGAGAACTGGTTCACCTGTCTCTGGGGCTGTGGATGTTTGCCACACATACAATTTTCCCAGGCTCAGGCCACTTATCACACTAGCCCCTACCTTATTATTTTAACTCTATCCCCAAATGTAGGCTGGGGCAAGACAGAGCTATCCAGCTTTGTATGTATAGGGAATTCAAATTGCCATGCAGTCCTTAGCAGCAGTTGTTAAGAAGGTTTCTTTAGCAACTCAACCCCACTTCTCCGTTTTTTGGGAATCATATACGCTGTATCATCTTTTACCCCAAGCTGCCTACTAATGACAACAGCGAGCCCCTCCCCCTCCCCCCCCCCCCCAGTTTCAGGGCTGTGGTGACATGTTGCTCCATCCTGCCAAAGCACCCTGCTTACCTTTATGTCTGGCAAAATAGCGGCCCAGAATGATGAGCAAGCAAAGCATGGCAAACACGACCACAGCTACAACGCCGCCAATCACTGCATGGTCCACTGCCCCAATGGTGCCCTCTTCACCTGCTCGGGAATCTGTTGAAATCAGAAGAGGAATAGGGATGTAGAACTTATTACAAGACACCAGGAGCCCCAGGGACACTGCCTCCAGGGTCAGAAGGTCACCTTCTTTTTTAATGGAGGAGTCAGCAAGAACAAACCAGATGGATCAAGTTACACAGAGGGAACAGACTGACCTGCCCAGAGCTGAATTGATCTGTTTTCCCCACAAGGCAATTTCATTAGAGGGAGCGTAGGAGTGCTACTGCGTGTGAAGGAAACTTAGGGTGTGTGTGTGTGTGTGTGTGTGTGTGTGTGTGCGCGCGCGAGTTTGTATGGGGCCTGGTGTGTCCTGCCTGTTTTCACCTATTCTTAGCATTCACTATACATATCCTGGAACTCAGACCTACTAATAATTAAGGAGGCTGACCTAAGTAGTTAATGGGCACCACAGATGGTACCTTCAGGCTCTCAGAGGAATAGGGGTAGGGGTGGGGGAGTGTGGAGAGGTCCACATCACACTCTTAGAGGAACATGCATAGAGAAAGCAAGGCTGAGTAGAGATAAAACCAGGCTTATGAGACTAAAGACATATGACATGCTTGCCACATTTACAAGGTGTGAGGAGAGGAAAAGCATCAATTTAAATCCTAATTCAAAGGGGGGAGAGAGAGGAAGAGAGAAAATGTTAAGACAGGAAGGAATACTTGTCCATCACCACAGACAGTTTTGATGTCATTTATTTAACATCTCAAAATGCAATTAGTTTTCTTCTGAGCCTCACTCCCTCATGATGTCCCTTTCTGAGTTTTTGGCTGGGGAACAACTTTAGCATGAACCCAGAATGAGCTATGGCAATGCAGAATGGATGTATGGCAGAGTAAACAATTTTAATTTAGGAATGTGGCTACAACATCCCTTGCTGAAATCCTAATGGCACCTGAGATTTATAACATAGTAAAAAACAATTATTCTACCGTTGATTAATACATTAACATTTTGGAGTGGAAGCTAAACCATTGTCCTTTTTTTTTTTTTCTTTTTATTGAGTCAAGTACGACACCTCCATTAAAATGATTTACTGGCTGTACCTTACAATTTAAGCACAGCAGCAACAGAAACGGTAAAAATCTTTTAACTTTACATGATTTGTGAAGTCATATGTGAAGGATTTACCATTTAAATCTTTCAGTACATGAAGCACATGGCCTATAAATCTGCCCCCCTCGTAGTTGCTGGATGGCTAAGAGAAATGCGTTTCACCGGGAAGGACCGAGAGTGCAAATTCAAGTCAATTTCTAAGAAAGATTTATCTCTGTCTCTCTCCAAAGAACAGAGCAAATCTCTGAAGCCTCCACCTCTAATAATATTTGAAGTTTATCGATCAAGTGTACAGATCCGTGACAGCTAAAGGTAATGGTACTCTTCTGAGCCGAAACCTGATACACCGCTTTCAGCGGGAGGGCAGGGCTTACACTTTCTATCGATATTTCCAATTCTGCTTGGAGACTAGGCACTGAAGGATGTGGGGAAATAACTCGTGACTGAGGCTCCCATGGAAAGCGCTTTAATTAAAAGAGCTTCAATTAGAATGTGGAGTATTTAAAGTGTTCTATGGAGTTAGCTTTGGAAGGACTACAGAATAACTCAAACCCCAAACCCCAAAAGAAATGCCAAGTCAGAGGCAGTGGCAGGTCGCCTGGACAACAGGATGATGGGAGTTTAATTGGAGGATGGAGATGGGTTGGAGGCAGAGTGCTGCAGCCAATTAGTCTACTCCATGATGTGCAAGCCCCTCCAGCAACGTGTCTAATAAGCTCCACTTGAAATGTAATGGAGAGGAATCCCCTGCCTCAGACCAAGTGCTGCTGACTGCAGACGATGCAGCCTCCATCCTGGAAGTCCTTTCCACGAGGCAGACAGTGGTCATAGAAACTTTGTTGACTTTTAGGAAACAGCGTGGTGACAGGAAGTAATGTGTATGGGGTATGCATTAATTATTGTTCTTCAGTGACAAAATATCTGCCACAAATAACAGAAAGAAGGTTTTATCTGGTTCCCATTCTGAGGGTACAGTCCATGAAGGCAGGGTTGAGTGGGGCAACTGGCTGCATGGTACCCTCCATCAGGCAGCAGAAAGCGGAGAACACTGATACTCTGTCTGCTTTTTAAAAACTCAGACTGAGATCTGGCCCAGACTGGGATGTGGCACCCACATTTAGGATCGGGCTTCTCTCTTTCGTTAAACCCTTCTGAAGACATTGTCAGACACATCAATTAGTGTGTTTCCATGGTGATTCTAAAACCAGTCAAGCTGATGATGAAGAAGAGTAACCATCACAGGGAGGGTGGTACTGGAGTCTGGTACCTGCTGGAGAACCACATTTTATATTGGGAAGACACCCCCCACTGGAAACACTGAAATGTTCTCACAGGGACCAAGTCATAGTAAAACTTGCCAGGTGTATCTGAATGATATCTACTAATCTTTAGTTGCCATGGGTTTCACCCTGATTGTTTGACTTTATTTCAATAAACTTGGTGTCTCTTAGATTTGGGACAAAGTGATACAGAGGAGGGAAAAGAGTTACACGAGGCAGAGAGGTGCCACTTTGGGAGATCTGAGAGTAGATGGAAGTTTCTAGAAGCTGTTTAAGACAGGGTCCCAATCCATCTGGAGGTAGGCAACTCTTGTCCACTGTTAAAAGACTACCTCCTGAAGCTTCAGGTACAGAAAAGTCCAAGATATGTCCCGGTACATTTGTGCTTGGGGGTAGGGGAGAGAAAAGAAAGGCAGAACGAAGGAAACTCCTCTCAAAACAAGGTTACAACAAAATAAAACCAAAAAGCCCTGTCATCTGTGGGATTCCTTACTTAAGCCCAACTATTCAGTTGACCTTTGCTCTCCAAATGTGGCCAGCCTAGCTATTTCCCCCTGTACTTAGCTCACACTAAATACCTATGTTTTAGTCCTTTCCCACCCTCAAGGACACACACGCGTTGCAGATACTTATTTATAAGCATAATCTCTCTAGCTACCTTCTGATACTGACTTTGCTCAGAAAGTTTACTACTGCTAGTTAATCACTAAGACACTTTTCCTGCTTTCAATTACAGCAGATGGACACAGAAGGTAACTGATGTTTAATTTACAGGGAACACTGCTGGTTATGCTCCTGGCAGCCTCTTCCCACCTCTCCTCCACTCTACTCCCACCCCTGGTTGACCATGGGAGGTAGTAATAGAGCTGTGACTGTTCCTAAGTGCCTGTCATGGTCTGGCCTCCCATGTGGAGAGCAGTTGTTTCTCATTCATCTCTTCTGTTTCCTCTTGTGGGATGGGAGGCAGTTCCAACGGTGCCGTGGATTGGCTCACAGTGGTAGAGGTGATGCTGGTTGCCTACTGCTGGGTTTGACCCACCTGCATCTGCAGCTGATGCCTTGATGGTCACAAAAGGCAGCAACATGAATTGTCACAGGGATGCACTTGGCTGTCAGAGTTGGATAAAATAGAAGTCTGAGGACAATAATGAATGACCCACTGGAGGATCTGTGGCAATGTCCACCAGTCTCCATCTCTCCTATCTTGTTAAGAGGTGAGAATTCAGAGTAGTTCTTGAAACATTACTAAGTGGAAAGGCCACAGCTGTCACCATTATCTGAAGGTCCTGCTCCCCTGAGGGAGATTCATCCATTTGGTCCCATCCCATTTGCTGCTTGTTTTCTTGGGAACATCTCAAGATTTCTTCCTCCCTTTAGTACACAGACAATGAAACTGGTGGCAAAGTCTCCAGCTGTTGCAGCTTCTCATGGGAAAAGTGAAGGTGGGGTGCACAGGTCTTCTAACGGAGCCCAATTCTCAGGTAAAGGGAGCCTCTTGTACAGTCACAGGTGTTAGTGTTTCTCTTTTGGGATAAAGCTATGCCCTTGCTGTACTGGGGAGAAACGGCAAGCATTCACAAGAACAGTCATTCTAGTTTACACTAACCATGGTCTGTGTGTATTAACCTATCTAAATAGCTTCACACACACATTCAGGTGAATAAGTGAGCCGGCTAAGTCTAACTTAGGCAGCACTGAATACTAGGAGTGACAACGCTCCTGTGGCACAACCCCTGGTCTGCCTGTTTCGCCCTGTCCTGTGCCACTTTAGAGCTCCAGATGAGACAGCTACATCATGAACCGGTTAGAGTGGGAGTTAGCTTTTCTTCTGACAAAAAGCTGAAGCAACTTAGTTCCATGTGAGATTTAAGTCCCTTGCAGGACATCAAGTTGAAAAAAACAAACACACACACACACACACACACACACACACAAAAAAAAAAAAAACCAAAAAAAAAAAAAACCCAAAACAAAACAATTAAACAAACAATAATAATAAAAAACACTGTGTCATAGTTTTAACTACCCTGATTGGGATTTTAGCATCTTAGAAATCTCAGAATAACAACAATAAAAGAATTAAAAACAACAAGAACAATAACAAAAATACTTTCATCAAATCCCAGAGATGTCCCGACTGTTCAGCTTTCTTCAGCTTCGGCAGTTGACCTGAACCCCTGTTCCTCAAGGGCAAGGAGAACAGGTACTTCTGAAGGCTGGAGTGGCCTTTCAGTCCCTCTCTACCCCTCCTTTTCCTACTCACATTCAGTCTTTAGATACTAGAGTGGAGCACCTCCTACACGAAGCACCCCCTCAGCCCTGCTGCCTGTGTGAATCAGGCATCTGGAAGGGGCCCTGGTTTCTATGGCTTCTTTACCACCTGGCAGGAAATGTGCCACACGAACTGCCAGGAGAATGCCATGACTGTGGGTCTGTCATAAGCCTTGCAGGCTGTGCTGCCAAAGCACGGATCCACGGGTAACTGGGAAATGGCTAGGATGTCCTTGTCAGGCTCCTGGCAAGGAAGGACTTTGGCAGAGGGACTCACTGAGCAGAATCCTCATTGCAACTTGCAGGCTGCCCTTCAGAAACCCAGGTAGCAGAATCTCAAGTCAGTCTTTTTGTCAAAAGGATACAGAGCTCTCTGTTTTGTAG